CTTACTTGCTCCGCGGCATGTGGGATCTTCCCCGACCAGGGCTCAAACCCCTGTCCCCTGCACTGGCAGGCAGATTCTTAACGACTGCGCCACCAGGGATGGGACTGAGTTTTGAATAAACACACTAGGTGATTTTGATGCAGGTGGTCTGCGGGGCACACCAATAGAATCACTGACCTAAATCATGTAAAACTTGAGATTGCCAAAAGGGATGTGGCATCCCTGCTTTTAAAAAGTCTGAACAGGTTGGGAAGTGTTCAGAGGTGACATGAAGGCTGTAGGAAATATACAACTCTGGAAAACATGGACAGTTATGATGAACACTGGAGAGAAGAGGTTTCTGTGATTCTTACTGTTGGAGGACGCAGAGGGAACGAAAAGTACCCACCAAACTGAGAAGGCATCTTGAGACCGAAAAACGAGGAAGGCAGTTCCAAATGATCAACACAGTTTATTGTAGGGTAACTTACTCACAGGGTGGGATCGGGCAGAAAATGATCCAGAAGCATTGGAGGCTGAACCCAGCACCACCAAAGGGCCTTTAGGACAATTTATAGTTAACCCAGGGCATGGGAGTAGGTGCTTGGAAACAGGATGTGCATTCCTAAGTTAAGATTTATAAATGAGTAACTAGCTACATGGGTGCTGGGAACACATCAGGGAAGCTTTTCGTCATTGTTTGGGGACTAACAGAGCGTAGAGGCTACCTGGTCCTAATGATTATTAAACAATATCTATTACAACCAAAGCCCTTGACGACAGAGAAGTGATTCACTGCACAGTAGAGCCCTGGGTAGGGTCGGCGGAAGGACAGGAGAAACTGTAAGTGCCCAAGATGGTATCTGTTCTGCTAACAGCCATACACTTGCCAACTCTCCTTTAAAATAAGTTTGAGGTATCGTATTTCTCTCTTCTCTATTGACTTTGTAGAAATTATCGGGATTCAGTGTCTTAGTCAGCTTTGGCTACTATAACAATATACCATAGAGTGGGTGGCTTAAATAGTAGACATTTATTTCTCACTGTTGTGGAGGCTGGAAATCTAAGATCAAGGTGCCATCAGGTTTGGCTTCTGGTGAGAAGAGCTCTCTTCCTGCTCTGGTGCCTTTGCCTCTTCCTATAAGGACACCCATCGTATCAGATTAGGGCCTCACCCTTATGACCTCATTCTACCTTAATTACCTCCTGAAAGGCCCTGTCTCCAACTACGGTCACATTTGGGGGGTGGTTAGGGATTTAGGGTGGACACGATTCAGTCCATAACACCAACCATTGGACAGGCACCCCTCATCTCTTTCCAGAAGTCTTTCTGGGTGAACATTATTAAAGCCTGTTCATAGGAGAGGCTGCCAAACAGTACTAAGATCCTGACTCCTGAGCTCCAGGTTCTGGGTTTAAGTCCTGACTTCACTGTTTACTCGATGATCGACCTTGGGCAAATTGCTTAACTATAAAATGAGGGTAATAATATCTCTCAGGGGTTGTTACAAGAATTATCTAAGAAAATACATACCAAGTGCTTAGAACAATGACCTGGTACAAAGTAAGTCAAACTACATGTTGGCCACTCACATCACCACAAGCAGAGGAGACAGAGGCAAGAAGACATCGGGATTGGGATTTGGACACAAACGCTGTGCTCTGACCTGAGGTCCTTGGGACTCGGGACTGGTGGGTGTCCACTGCTTTCCTCTTCTCTTCCTGGCCGGACTTTCCCTCAGCCTTAACTGAGCATAATATGAAAGTTAAGTGTACATACGTTTATTCATGAAACTATATTTGTTTTTTTTCATTACTCATTAAGGAAGTATGTGAATGTGGTACTTTCTGGGTCTCTTTCCTAAAAACAAATTCTCTAAAATGATTCGGGGAGTTCCTGGTGGCCTAGTGGTTAGGATTCTGGGCTTTCACTGCCACGGCCAAGTTCAGTCCCTGGTTGGGGAACTTAGATCCCGCAGTCCCGTGGAGCAGCCCGCAAAAAGAAAGAAAGAAAAGAAGTAAATAAAATGATTCGTATATGGTGCTAGACATCACCCACAGGTCCCAAAGTCTGTGGCTCTGCTAATTTAACAGCGCACACACAAGAAATTCGTTCCCTCTCCTCTGCTGCCACCATGTGGTCATATCGGTTATAACCAGCATTTCCTCAGGCTTTGGCAGGGCTGGGAGCTTAACTTGAATTTGTTATCTGGGTCTCAGTGAGCATAGGTAGTACACCTCTGATTAAAAGCATATAACACTTGACCTATATACACTAATATGTATAAAATGTATAACTAATAAAAAAGATAAAATAAATAAAAATGCTGCTGAAAAAAAAACATATAACGTGCCTGGAAAAGCTATATAACAGATAGTCTTCTACCTTATTGTGGTGAATTCCAGCCTACTCCAGCCTTGGGGATCTTCCCCACTTAAGCAGCAAACATTCACTTATGTCAACTCAGATCAGAGACTTGAAATGATGAGACACACTCCCTGTCCCCAAAGACTTCATAGTCTAATGTGTAAACAAATACTGAGGCAACCACACATGCTGAAGATGGGGTTACCCTACGGGAAAGGAAGACAAGGTCATTCAAATCACCGGGACTTTCACATCTCACAACTAAGGAAAAAGTTTACATTTTTCATTAAATTAAACCAAATATCAATACAGAATGATAGTGCGATGGCAACAGTAGATTCTTTAAAATTCATTGATTCATAAAATTTGAGAGCTATGTCTTACAAAATCATCTAATGCAACCTCTCATCTTACAAGTGGGGAAACTGAGGCCCTGGGAGAGGAAGAGACTTATACTAGGGCACACAGCTGGTCAGGGAGAGGGCTAGAGTTCATGTTCACTGTACTCCCAATCGTTGCCACCCGTAGCCGGATGTGGGTGACAGTGTGGGCGGGGGGTATAAAGGGACTTTGGGAGGAAGGACCTTTGTGGAGTCATGGAGGAAAGGGGGATGCCTCGGGGGTACATTGCAGGTCACAGCCACAGTCCAGACGGAAGAGTTTCTGACATGAAACACAGGCCAGCCTAGGAGACCCAGGTCTCCACCCAGCTTCACTCCTTTTTCTCTCTTCTTAAAATTCTCTCCCTGTTTTTCCTCCTCCAACCTGTTCTCTCCACTACCTTTTTTCTAGTCAATCATTTTATTGATATTTGATCATTGTGCCACCAAGAACTAGCATGCATCATGGAAATAGTAGAAATTTTGGAACTACACAGACCTGATTTTAAACCCTGCCCTGCCCACTAGCTATGCAACTTGGAATAGTTACCTAACTCTGCGAAGTCTTAGTTTCTTCATCTTTGAAAAGTTACTACTTCTTACCTTGAAAGGATGTGGCCTTCAATGTGCCCATATGTTCATTATTAAACACTCAATAATTCTTACCAAGCACCAAGCCCAGGTGTGGGTCCTGGGGATGATAAAAACAGCAGTTATTCTTAAAAAAAAAAAAAAAAAAAAAAAAAAAAAAGGGGGGACTTCCCTGGTGGTCCAGCAGTTAAGACTCTGCGCTCCCAATGCAGGGGGCCCAGGTTCGATCCCTGGTCAGGGAACTAGATAGATCCCGCATGCCACAACTAAAGATCCTGCGTGCCACAACTAAGACCCAGTGCAGCCAAATAAATAAATATTTTTTAAAATAATAAAAATAAAAACAGCACTTATTTGAAGGCTGTGTTCTAGGTATTTTACATGAATTATGTTACTCATCTCCACTCCTCGGATGAGGAGACTGAGGTATGGAGGAGTTCAGCTATCTTGCCCACAAAGCTGTAAATGTCAGCCTATTCCCAGCGTGAACAGAAGTTATACCACACACATGGAGGAAAATAAAGTCCATGCCTTCACGGAACTTTCATTCCAGAGGAAAGTGAGATCCGGAAAACTACTGAGACAGTTTGTAATAGACAAATATTAGTTTCTTGTTCCCTCCCCCAAGTCTATGACGAAAAAGGAGGATCACATAAACAAAGAGGAAGAGAAGTGATCTGAATGCGGTCCTATTTTTTTTTTTTTTTTTTTTTTGGCGGTACGCGGGCCTCTCACTGCTGTGGCCTCTCCCGTTGCGGAGCACAGGCTCCGGACGCACAGGCTCAGCGGCCATGGCTCACAGGCCCAGCCGCTCCGCGGCATGTGGGATCCTCCCGGACCGGAGCACGAACCTGCGTTCCCTGCATCGGCAGGTGGACTCTCAACCACTGCGCCACCAGGGAAACCCAATGCTGTCCTATTTTTAACTCCTCCCTTCCCCTACTCAAATAAAAAGGAAACCAACAGCAGTGAGCCCTTGTTTTGTGAGAGCTGCTGTCACTCACCTCAACCCACAGGTTGGTGATGCTCAAACTTGAACCAGCCTCAGAATCACTTAGAGGGCTTGTGAAAAGTGTGCCGAGCCACTCCCAGAATTTCCGATGCAGTAGGTCTGGGATGAAGCCTGAGACTTTGCATTTCTAACAAGTTCCCCAGTGTATCTCATGTTGCTGTTCTTGAACCACACATGGAGAACCACTGAACAACCCATGAGGTACTGTTGTTCCCACTGCCAAGGCGAGGAAACTGAGTTTCAGGAAGGCTAGGTGCCTCAACGGAAGCTCCACCACCAGTGAGAAACAGACAGTATTTGATCTGACTCCAAAGCCCGTGCTGCTTGCATTACCCCTGAGTTGGAGATTTAAGACTCTAAGAATTCCCCATTCCATGTCTGTTCACTTTATCCTAGAATTTCTGCTCTTGAAAGGCGAAGTCAAGGTTCTGGGAGACCATAATATCAATATATTTTCATCTCCAATGAGAACCAGTAGATGGCTTGTAAAAGCTTTTAAAATGTTTCTGTCCATTACCCAATAATTCCTCTTCTAGAAATCTATACTAAGAGAATGATCCAAAATATAGCCCAAAATACAAAGTGTTTTAGCAAAAAGCTAGGAATCTAAATATCCAATATTAAGGGTCTGGTTAAATAAAATATGGCATATCCAAGTGATGGAATATTATCAGGCTGTTAAAAATTATTTATTTAGAATTTTTATAACATGTCAAAGCATTTATGATATAATATTAAACAAAACACAGAACTAAATTCAAAAAGCTCTCAATGTATTAAAAATATTGAAAAAACTGGAAGAAAATAAAAACACTGACAACAGTTGTCTCTGCCTCTAATAATTTTCTATACTTTCCACACACTTTCTACAGTGAGTTTTTTTTAATTAAAAAACCATGCACTTTCTTTTTGTTGATTAACTACAAGAGATACTGTCATGACCCTTCTACAGTTAGTCAATTCCTAAACAGCCAGGAAAAGCAAAACTGAACTTTAAAGCTAACATTTAACTACAGATCACATTTTCCCTGGCCCTACACTGTACATATTTTAAAGTAAAAAACATGAAGAGAAAACTCAAAAGACAATCATTATTATAAACACACAGAAAGAAGACCAGAAAGATACCTGTAAAAATGATTTAACAGGGATTATTTTTGGTTGGTGGAATTACAAAGCTGTTCAATCTTTTTAGCTTAACAATTTTTGTTACATTTTCTACAATGAACATCAATTACTTTTGTAATAAAAAGTCTTTGCTGTTTTCAAGAGAACACCACCAAGCAAATTACAGCACACCTATACAACGGTATAAATAACCACTTTAAAATGTTGTAAAAGAGTGTTTAATAACATGGAAAAACGTTTGCTATATTAGCCGACCATACTATAAAACAGTATGTTCAGAATGATCCCACTGTTTTGTTTAATAAGCAAACAAAATGTCTGTGTACACAAAGAAAACACCTTGGAAAAATATCCCAAAATATTAATAGTGTTTTACCCTAGGTGGCAGGATTATTCTAATTTTCTTAGTTTTGCTTCTGTATTTTCTGTATTCTATTGAATATTAACTTTTCCAATATGCAAAAAAGTTTTAACAAAAGCTACATGAAACCAAAAAATTACCTTGTTAAATAAAAAAGAAACAGAGAAAAAGAGGAGCAGGGGTATCTTAATTGAAAGATCTTCCTTTAAAAAGGCTTCCCAGCTCTATCTCAGCTCTAATTTTCAAGCCAAGCTGGTCTTTCATCATCAAGAGGGCAGTCCATCTCGATCCTTCCTCTACTGTAGACTTAATAATGCTTGAGCAGGATATCGACTCTGGCGACAAAGTTCACCCCCCTCTTGATGGGGCAAACATACACGGTCTGGAACCTTTAAACAAGACCCTGGGAGAGAATACGGTCTAGGGGGAAAACATTTAACTGCCTTCTAAGACTATAAGTCTGATTATAAGTAAATATAATTTACAATCATTTGATGAAGGAAATGTATTACTTATGTTGCAAATAACACACTATATGGAATTATATTCCCGGACCTGGCAGAGACCTCTGAGATCATCTGAAGACAATTTCCAGGACACTGTCTTCAGGATGCTATGTAAATACTGACTGGAAACAATAACAGAGATGTCATGCTAGAGAATCTTAAGTAAACAGTTCAAAAGCCTGGCTTCCTGTTTATACAATGTTAGGTCACTTTATGGATAGCCACAAGGTGATTCAGCATTCTGATTTGATAGAAGAATTTCTTGACTTGACATATCATAAAAGGGACTACAAAGAACAGCAGAAAAGCCAGAAGACACAGAAAAGAACGAAAATAAACACAAGGACGTGTGTCTTCCAGCCCAAACAATGAGAAATTTATGCCACCAGCCCAGCCATTCAATCTATTTCCAAATCGCTATCCTCGCTGTGGCAGGTGGCTGAGTTACGCACAGAGGTTACCAACAAGACTTCCTTTTCTGGAAGCAATCCAAACTCCTGGAGGAAAGCTTCAAGGTCCACCGCAAAGAAATCTTCCCCCAGCTGGTCAGTGACACGGACAAAGTTGCCAATCAGCTCGCCCCCCTTGTAGATGAGCAGGGCGGGAAGGGCGTTCCTGGTGAAGCGACTGCTGGCCCCGATCACCGAGCTCTTCACCCGGCAGAACTTGACGGCTGGGTACTCCGCGGCCAGGCAGATCATGCAACCATTCATGGCTTCGGTCCCTGGGATGCCGTCCTCGTAAATATGGACCATGATGAGGGTGCTCTTCTGTTCTTTGTCAATCATGTCCAGAAACCCTTCTCCACTGGGGATTTCAAAAACCTGCTTGAACTGGGGCCCCTGGTGGAGCTGCTGCCGCATCTCTTCCATCCTCTGCTTCCGGTACCGCTGCAGGAACTCCTCGTCGTCTTGGTCCTCATTCATCATGGCAAAGTCCTTCAGAGTCATCTGCGGGAGGACCAGCAAGTGAGCGTAAGAAACATAAACCCAACAGTGACATGGGTGACACAAGATGTATGAGGCGCCACGCTAATACTCTAGATGTATTACACCTCACTGAAATCTTCTGATAACCCCATCGGGAAGGGACTTTTATTACCCCCACTTTACAAATGAGGTTCTGAGACTTGAGATTATCTGTATAAGTTCACATAGGTAGCAAGTATAAGACCAGGATTCAAACTAGATTTTTTAAAAAACCCAGGCTTTCAACTACTGTGTCATAGCGCCTCTCCATCCAGACAGGCAGCATCAGATAACATCACTTCGTGAGCTTTTGTCTTTTTGTCAGTCCTGACAATGGATTAATTATTTTATCCACTGTTTTGTTTTTGTTGAAAAGACAACAGGACATTAAGGAACCTGAACACTCATAATCCCTGCCCTGCGCCACCCTCCTTGCCTCCCACGCCAAAACATACAGCCACACACATTCTAAAAATCTATTCTTCTTTTTATTACCAGTCACGTGCTAAAACCATTTCTGCTTTTATAACAGCAGCTGTGGGTGTACCAATTAAGCTATAGCCTGCTTTTGCCACTTAGCACTATTATATCATAAATTATTCCTCATGCTTCCAAACATGTTTTATAAAATTATAAATAATGTGGCCTATTTTGCTTAGCCACTCCCCTACTTCTGGCATTCAGGCAGTTGCCAGTTCTGTCTCATTGCAACAACCCAGCAGGACTGCCCCATGTGATCATGTGCTGTGTGGCTTTGTCTGGTCTCCACCGCAGCACAAGGAAGCGCTGTGAGCCGTGGGCATGTTGTCCTGAAGCCAGCTTCCATTACAAAAGCATTCTCCCTCTCCTGCCCTGGTGTAGCAAGACATCCCTGCTCCTGTGATGAAGCCCAGCTCTGCCTACCCTGGCACAGATGAGAGGGTGGCGGCTGGGAGGCCACACCAGATCAGGACACGTGTTGTTACTGCATCACAGCCAGAGCCATTCTTCTTCCCCTCTCACTGCTCCCCCACCAGAGCGGTTCTTTCTGACCTGTTATGGTCTTGCTTGAGTCTAATGCCCTGAAATCATCCTCCTGGTCAAGGCAAACTCCTCACTTAATCCTCTTGTCTGCTCCCCGACCCCGGCGGGTATTTCCAGCCAAGAGCTGCTTTGGGCTACAGCCAAATGATTTCAGGCACTTCTAGACATCCTTCCGTGGTCAGAGAGCATGGTGGGGAATTAAAGGATCCTTTTGAAGAACGCTTTGGGAAGGTAAGAAAGAGTCAGGGACCTAGTTCCAAATATCTTCCACAGTGTCTGCCCGCTTCTACTGTATTGCTTCACTAAAATAAATTCTCATGAATAGGCTTCAGATGAAACAGAACAACATCATGGAAAGAACAGGAAAATCTGGGTTAGAATCCTAGTTCCTATTAGCATTTCTTAATTGCACTGCCCTGAACAAGTCCCCTCCCACCTCTCAGCTTTGGTTTCACCATCTGTAAAATGGGGATAATATCTCCCAATCTCAGAGGTTTGTTTCTGGCTCAAGGTAAGACCTCGAGAAAGGACAGGAAACTCACATTTCCTGATCACTTTCAACCGGCCTGTGATGGGCACTGTATCGAGAGACTGACCTCATTTAACCAACGACAAACCAGAGTCAGAGTGGAAGAGACATCCCCACAGTTACTAGTGGCACAGCTGAGATTCAAACCCAGGTGTGGCCAAGCTATGACATGACTGCACTTTCTCCTGCACTGCACTGCTTCTTAGTATCTTTTTTAAAATTTATTTTATTTATTTATTTTTGGCTGCACTGAGTCTTCGTGGCTGCACAGCTTTCTCTAGTTGCAGTGAGTGGGGGCTACTCTTCACTGCGGTGCGCAGGCTTCTGATTGCGGTGGCTTCTCTTGTTACGGAACACAGGCTCTAGGCGCGAGGGCTTCAGCAGTTGTGGCACATGGACTCAGTAGTTGTGGCGCACGGGCTTAGTTGCTCTGCGGCATGTGGGATCTTCCTGGACCAGGGCTCGAATCCGTGTCCCCTGCATTGGCAGGCGGATTCTTAACCACTGCACCACCTGGGAAGCCCTGCACCGCTTCTTGGAGGCCAAATCAAACCCTTCCACCTCTTGAATCACTAAGCCCAGCAGCCAGGGTAGCCTCTGAGAAAGGCCTGGGCGCTTCTAATTACCTTCCCACTGATCTTCTCCTGGAGGTCCTTCTGCTTCCGCTGCTCCTCCTCTTCGTCCACATGGGACCTGCAGCTCATGGACAGCTTCTTGATCAGCTTCTCCATCTCCCGGCACTGCTCCTCCCGCTGCTCCGTCTCCAGCTGTTTGAAGCGGCGCCAGTCATTGATCACGCCTTTTGGACCTGAGGTGGGGTGAACGTGGAGGTGACCAAGGATGAGCGAGGGATTATGGGCCAGCGCACATCTGTCTAAAGCTGGCTCCATCGACACCACAGTGACACTCACACAGGGCAGTGTGGTCTACACGCAACCACGTCCAAGGCAGCCCAGTTTGCAAATTAAAGGGCCATGCGAAGGCCCAACATTAGGAGATGTGTGAAATAAATTCAGATTCATCTACTCAAAGGAAAACAAAGTGACTCTTAGAAAGAATGAGGCAGCTATATGTTCCCTGCCATGAAAAATGTCCAAACATATTAGGTCAAAAAAAAAGCAAAATGCAGAACAGTATCATGGTATGATCCTTTAATTTTTAGAAAAAGAACTGTATGTCCATGTATAAATATTTACAGATATTTGTATATGTGCATGTACATTTGTATGTCCATAGAAAAATAGGTAAACTGTTAACAGTGCTTGTCTCTAGGCAGTGAGATCTAAGGGGACTGGTGAGAGAGAACTTTTACTTTTTTCTTACTATGCTTCCGTATTATCTGACTTTTTTTTTTTTTTTTTTTTTTGCAGTACGTGGGCCTCTCACTGTCGTGGCCTCTCCCCTTGCGGAGCACAGGCTCCGGACGTGCAGGCTCAGCGGCCATGGCTCACAGGCCCAGCCGCTCTGCGGCATGTGGGATCTTCCCGGACCGGGACATGAACCCGCGTCCCCTGCATCGGCAGGCAGACTCTCAACCACTGCGCCACCAGGGAAGCCCTATCTGACTCTTTTAACAAGATTGTGGCAGGTTGTTCTATTAGTCAAGCTACCCCCAAACCCCCCTGTCCCCATGCTATATAGACCTGCCCCTTACCACATGACTTGCAATACCTCCTGTGGGATGAGAACGTGTATCCCCAGCCCACTGATGTGGGGCTTGCCCATTGACTTGCTGTGGCCAATGGATTCTGAGCAAAAACGCAATGAGTCACTACATGTTTCCAACAGCCCTCTCTTGCTCTCTATACTTGGTCATGAGAACAGCATGTCTCAGACAGGGGCTGCTCCTTGAGCCTCGTTCCTGGATGATAGGACATACAAAGCAGAAGCGGGGCAGCTGCTGACCCCAACAGGCAGCACGTAACATGACTGAGAAATAAACCTTTGTTGTCACAAGCCACTGAGACAAAAATATAAACATCTGTATAAAGAAAACTTTAAAATGATGCCAAGAAACACTACAAAAGCCCTGAATAAATGGAGCAACGCCATAGTCCTGGCTAGGAAGATGCAACATCACAAGGGTACCAATTATCCCCAAATTAATCCATATATTTAATGCGTTTCTGATGAAAGTATGTGATTACACACATGTGCCTGCTCCTGAATTTGCGGTGGAAAAATAAGAAAGCAAAACTTAAGGAAATAATAATAAAAATAGAAGGGTATTGTATGGGGGGGACCAGACCTACCAGATACTAAAACATATTATAACACGATACTTAAAAACAGTGTGATATAGCACAGTAAAAGACAAATCAGCGGAAGAGACTACAAAGTATGGCTGAAGACGCAAATATAAGCAGAAATTCAGTACGTGATAAAACTGACATTTCAAAACAATGGAGAAAAGATGGTTTATTCAATAAATGATGCTGAAACAACTGGGCAGCAATCCAAAAAAAATTAAGTTGGAGTCCTAGCACATACCTTGCATGGAAACGAATTCCAGATAAATCGTTGTGTTAAAAAAAAAAATCATAAAAATACTAAAAAAAAAAAAAAGGCATGGGATTGTCTTTTTATAATCCTGGAGTGAAGAAAGGCCTTTTACATAAGAAACAAAACTAAGAAACTATAAAATAATGCTTTCAAGCACATAACAAGTAAAAAAACTTTCTGCCAGGATAAGAACAAAAGCCAAGAGTCAAACAATAAACTGGTAGAAATATTTGCAACTCAAACCACAGATTAATTTCCTTAATATATAGCTCCCTAAGAAGAAAAAGACCAACTACCCAATTTCAAAAATGAGCAAAGGATATGAATACAACCTTTAAAATTATGAAAAGAGGCTCAACATCACTCCTAAAAAGATAGAAAATAAAACTACGGTGAGTTCCCATTTGCCATCCATAAGGATGGCAAAGATCAAAAAGTCTGATAACATAGTAGAAGGTCACATATATGGGGAAATATCACACTCCTGCTTAAACTATAAACCAGTACCAACTCAACTGACAGCAATTTGGAAATAATAAAATGTAAAAGTGTAAATATGCCATTTCTCGGAATTTATACTACCAATATACTCATACCCATGATTTAGGTGATATCAAACACCTATCAATTTGAGAAGCTGGACTCAAACGCAGGCAAGTCTGTTTTAATCATCAGCATGTTGGTATGCATACATATTCGTATTGTGCAGTGAAATGGCTAGAACCACGCACAGTGAAATGGTAACATTAGGTTATCTCTGGATGCGGGTCTGGAATTAGAAGTGATCACGACCCACCACCAGTCCCTCCCATCAGGAAACTTACACAAGCCTCTTAGATAGCCTAATGCACCAAAGGGCAGACAGCAGAAGCAAGAATAACTACAGTCCTGCAGCCTGTGGAACAAAATCCACATTCACAGAAAGATAAACAAGATGAAAAGGCAGAGGGCTACGTACCAGATGAAGGATCAAGATAAAACCCCAGAAAAATAACTAAATGAAGTGGAGATAGGCAACCTTCCAGAAAAAACATTCAGAATAATGATAGTGAACGTGATGCAGGACCTTGGAAAAACAATGGAGGCAAAGATAGAGAAAATGCAAGAAATGTTTAACAAAGACCTAGAAGAGGGCTTCCCTGGTGGCGCAGTGGTTGAGAGTCCGCCTGCCTGTGCTCCGCAACGGGAGAGGCCCGCGTACCTTAAAAAAAAAAAAAAAAGACCTAGAAGAATTAAAGAACAAACAGAGATGAACAATACAATAACTGAAATGAAAACTACACTAGAAGTAATCGATAGCAGAATAACAAGCAGAAGAACGGATAAGTGACCTGGAAGATAGAATGGTAATTCACTGCGGAGGAACAGAATAAAGAAAAAAGAATGAAAAGAAATGAAGACAGCTTAAGAGACCTCTGGGACAACATTAAACGCAACAACATTCGCATTATAGAGGTCCAAGAAGGAGAAGAGAGAGAGGAAGGACCCAAGAAAATATTTGAAGAGATTATAGTCGAAAATTTCCCTAACATGGGAAAGGAAATAGCCACCCAAGTCCAGGAAGCGCAGAGAGCCCCATACAGGATAAACCCAAGGAGAAACACACCGAGACACATAGTAATCAAATTGGCAAAAATTAAAGACAAAGAAAAATTATTGAAAGCAGCAAGGGAAAAATGACAAATAACATACAAGGGAACTCCCATAAGGTTAACAGCTGATTTCTCAGCAGAAACTCTATAAGCCAGAAGAGAGTGGCATGATATACTTAAAGTGATGAAAGGGAAGAACCTACAACCAAGATTACTCTACGTGGCAAGGATCTCATTCAGATTCGATGGAGAAATCAAAAGCTTTACAGACAAGCAAAAGCCAAGAGAATTCAGCACCACAAAACCAGCTCTACAACAAATGCTAAAGGAACTTCTCTAAGTGGGAAACACAAGACAAGAAAAGAACCTACAAAAAAACCCAAAACAATTAAGAAAATGGCCATAGGAACATACATATCAATAATTACCTTAAACGTGAATGGATTAAATACTCCAACCAAAAGACATGGGCTTACTGAATGGATACAAAAACAAGACACATCTATATGCTGTCTACAAGAGACCCACTTCAGACCTAGGGACACATATAGACTGAAAGTGAGGGGATGAAAAAAGATATTCCATGCAAATGGAAATTAAAAGAAAGCTGGAGTAGCAATACTCATATCAGATAAAATAGACTTTAAAATAAAGAATGTTACAAGAGACAGGGAAGGACACTACATAATGATCAAGGGATCAATCCAAGAAGAATATAACAATTATAAATATATATGCACCCAACATAGGAACACCTCAGCACATAAGGCAACTGCTAACAGCTATAAAAGAGGAAATTGACAGTAACACAGTAATAGTGGGGGACTTTAACACCTCACCTCACTTACACCAACGGACAGATCATCCAAATTGAAAATTAATAAGGAAACACAAGCTTTAAATGACACAATAGACCAGATAGATTTAATTGATATTTATAGGACATTCTATCCAAAAACAGCAGATTACACTTTCTTCTCAAGGGCACAGGGAACATTCTCCAGGATAGATCACATCTTGGGTCACAAATAAACCCTCAGTACATTTAAGATAATTGAAATCATATCAAGCAACTTTTCTGACCACAACCCTATGAGACTAAAAATGAATTACAGGGAAAAAAATGTAAAAAACACAGACACATGGAGGCTAAACAATACGTTATTAAATAACCAAGACATCATTGAAGAAATAAAAGAGGAAATAAAAAAATACCTACAGACAAATGGCAATGAAAACATGATGATCCAAACCCTATGGGATGCAGCAAAAGCTGTTCTAAGAGCGAAGTTTATAGATATACAAGCCTACCTCAAGAAACAAGAAAAATCTCAAATAAACAATCTAACCTTACACCTAAAGGAACTAGAGAAAGAAGAACAAACAAAACCCAAAGTTAGCGGAAGGAAAGAAATCATAAAGATCAGCTCAGAAATAAATGAAATAGAAAGAAAGAAAACAATAGCAAAGATCAATAAAACTAAAAGCTAGCTCTTTGAGAAGATAAACAAAAATGATAAACCATTAGCCAGACTCATGTAGACAAAGAGGGAGAGGACTCAAATCAATAAAATTAGAAATGAAAAAGGAGAAGTTACAACAGACACTGCAGAAATACAAAGCATCCTAAGAGACTACTACAAGCAACTCTATGCCAATAAAATGGACAACCTGGAAGAAATGGACAAATTCTTAGAAAGGTATAATCTTCCAAGACTGAACCAAGAAGAAATAGAAAATATGAACAGACCAACCACAAGCACTGATATTGAAACTGTGATTAAAAATCTTCCAACAGGGCTTCCCTGGTGGTGCAGTGGTTGGGATTCCGCCTGCCGATGCAGGGGTCGCGGGTTCGTGCTCCGGTCCAGGAATATCCCACATGACGCAGAGCAGCTGGGCAAGTGAGCCATGGCCGCTGAGCCTGCGTGTCCGGAGACTGTGCTCCGCAACGGGAGAGGCCACAACAGTGAGAGGCCCGCGTACCACAAAAAAAAAAAAAAAAAAATCTTCCAACGAACAAAAGTCCAGGACCAGATGGCTTCACAGGTGAATTCTATCAAACATTTAGAGAAGAGCTAACACCCATCCTTCTCAAACTCTTCCAAAAACGTACAGAGGAAGGAACACTCCCAAACTCATTCTATGAGGCCACCATCACCCTGATACCAAAACGAGACAAAGATACTACAAAAAAAGAAAATTACAGACCCATATGACTGATGAATATAGACGCAAAAATCCTCAACAAAATACTAGCAAACAGAATCCAACAACACATTCAAAGGATCATACACCATGACCACGTGGGATTTATCCCAGGGATGCAAGGATTCTTCAATATATGCAAATCAATCAATGTGATACACCTTATTAACAAACTGAAGGAAAAAAACCATATGATCAGGCTTCCCTGGTAGCACAGTAGTTGAGAGTCCACCTGCCGATGTAAGGGACGCGGGTTCGAGCCCTGGTCCGGGAAGATCCCACATGCCGTGGAGCGGCTGGGCCCATGAGCCATGGCCGCTGACCTTGCGTGTCTGGAGCCTGTGCTCCGCAACGGGAGAGGCCACAACAGTGAGAGGCCCGCGTACCGCAAAAAAACAAACAAAAAAAACAAACCATATGATCATCTCAGTAGATGCAGAAAAAGCTTTTGACAAAATTCAACACCCATTTATGATAAAAACTCTCCAGAAAGTGGGCATAGAGGGAACCTACCTCAACATAATAAAGGCCATATATGACAAACCCACAGCAAACATCATTCTCAAGAGTGAAAAACTGAAAGCATTTCCTCCAAAATCAGGAACAAGACAAGGATGTCTACTCTCACCACTATTATTCAACATAGTTTTGGAAGTCCTAGCCACGGCAGTCAGAGAAGAAAAGGCAATAAAGGAATATAAATTGGAAAAGAAGAAGTAAAACTGTCACTGTTTGAAGATGACATGCTACTATACGTAGAGAATCCTCAAAATTCCACCAGAAAACTACTAGAGTTAATCAATGAATTTAGTGAAGTTGCAGGATACAAAATTAATGCACAGAAATCTCTTGCATTCCTTTACACTAATGATGAAAAATTTGAAAGAGAAATTAAGGAAACACTCCCATTTACCACTGCAACAAAAAGAATAAAATACCTAGGAATAAACCTACCTAGGGAGACAAAAGACCTGTATGTAGAAAACTATAAGACACTGATGAAAGAAATTAAAGATGATACCAACAGATGGAGAGATATACCATGTTGTTGGACTGGAAGAATCAATATTGTGAAAATGACTATACTACCCAAAGGAATCTACAGATTCAATGCAATCCCAATCAAATTACAATGGCAGTTTTTACGGAACTAGAACAAAAAATCTTAAAATTTGTATGGAGACACAAAAGCCCCGAATAGCCAAAGCAGTCTTGAGGGAAAAAAACAGACCTGGAAGAATCAGACTCCCTGACTTCCGACTATACTACAAAGCTATAGTAATCAAGACAATATAGTACTGGCACAAAAACAGAAACATAGATCAATGGAACAAGATAGAAAGCCCAGAGATGAACCAAAGCACCTATGGTCAACTAATCTATGACAAAGGAGGCAAAGATATACAATGGAGAAAAGACAGCCTCTTCAATACGTGGTGCTGGGAAAACTGGACAGCTACATGTAAAAGAATGAAATTAGAACACTCCTTAACACCATACACAAAAATAAACTCAAAATGGATTAGAGACCTAAATTTAAGACCGGACACTATAAAACTCTTAGAGCAAAACATAGGAAGAACACTCTATGACATAAATCACAGCAAGATCTTTTTTGATCCACCTCCTAGAGTAATGGAAATAAAAACAAAAATAAACAAATGGGACCTAATGAAACTTCAAAGGTTTTGCACAGCAAAGGAAATGATAAACAAGACGAAAAGACAACCCTCAGAATGGGAGAAACTATTTGCAAATGAAGCAACAGACAAAGGATTAATCTCCAAAATATATAAACAGCTCATGCAGCTCAATATTAAAGAAACAAACAACCCAATCCAAAAATGGGCAGAAGACCTAAATAGACATTTCTCCAAAGAAGACATATGGATGGCCAGGAAGCACATGAAAAGCTGCTCAACATCATTAATTTTTAGAGAAATGCAAGTCAAAACTACAATGAGGTACCACCTTACACCAGTTAGAATGGGCATCATCAGAAAATCTACAAACAACAAATGCTGGAGTGGGTGTGGAAAAAAGGGAACCCTCTTGCACTGTTGGTGGGAATGTAAATTGATACAGCCACTATGGAGAACAGTATGGAGGTTCCTTAAAAAACTAAAAATAGAATTACCATATGATCCAGCAATCCCACTACTGGGCATATACCCAGAGAAAACCATAATTCAAAAAGACACATGCACCCCAATGTTCATTGCAGCACTATTTACAATAGCCAGGTCATGGAAGCAACCTTAATGCCCATCGACAGACGAATGGATAAAGAAGATGTGGTACATATATACAATGGAATATTACTCAGCCATAAAAAGGAACGAAATTGGGTCATTTGTAGAGACGTGGATGGATCTAGAGATTGTCATACAGAGTGAAGTTAGTCAGAAAGAGAAAAACAAATATCGCATATTAACGCATGTAAGTGGAACCTAGAAAAATGGTACAGATGAACTGGTTTGCAGGGCAGAAGTTGAGACACAGATGTAGAGAACAAACATATGGACACCAGGGGGGAAAGCCCCGGGGGGTGGGGATGGTGGTGTGATGAATTGGGCGATTGGGATTGACATGTATACACTGATGTGTATAAAATTGATGACTAATAAGAACCTACTGTATTAAAAAGTAAATAGGGCTTCCCTGGTGGCGCAGTGGTTGGGAGTTCGCCTGCCAATGCAGGGGACACGGGTTCGTGCCCCGGTCCAGGAGGATCCCACATGCCGTGGAGCAGCTGGGCCCGTGAGCCACGGCCGCTGAGCCTGCGCGTCTGGAGCCTATGCTCCGCAACGGGAGAGGCCACAGCAGTGAGAGGCCCGCGTACCGCCAAAAAAAAAAAAAAAAAAAAAAAAAAAATAAAAAAAAAAAAATTTAAAAATTTTAGTTTGAAAGAAAAGAAGTGATCACAAGACTTCTGATACATATTTAATGGACATTTTTTAAACCTGTTCCCAGAGCACAGGATTTCCAGTACCTGTGTTAACTGAGATGCCTTCGCCTGCCAACTCAGCATCTGCAGGCATGGAACTGCCGGCCAGGGCACCCCTGCCTCTGTCCTTGTCCTCGTGGTCGCTGTCCTCATCCTCGCTGCTGCTGTAGTAGTACTGCAGCTTCTCCCCCAGTAACTTATCATCCAGGGTCGTCATGATGCCTGGGAGAGGGCGACATAGCAGGTTCTATGCTGGCTTGAATCAGACAGACATGAATCTGAAGAGTTAGGGATCACCTGTGCTCAGATCCTATTATGCACAGGACCGTAAGAGTGACTGTTTTCATAAGCAGGATCTCAGCAAATCCATACCATGACCATGCATGATAGGGTTTATCATGCTCTTTCTGTAAAAGGTAAAATTGAGGCTGAGATAAAATTTCTGTGCCAAACTTTACAGCAAATGGCGGAGCTGGGCTCAGACCCCAAGGATTCCTGACTCCAAGAGAATGAAGGTGTGAGCCACTGTCTTCTGAATAGTATACACTGAAGTAGGGTGGTGGCTTGGAGAAAACTACTGACTGAACGTCTTATCTACACATACTCTTTGGTTTATCTACCAAGTAAGACGGCTGGTAATTGAAAAATTGGTAAGAATCCTCATGAGAAACTCCAAAAAGAGCATCAAGAATGGGATGCTGACTCACTGTTTGCCTAGGCCAATCATTCATCTGTCTCTTGCCTTCCACCTCCCAATCAGCACAGCGATGGTTAGGATGGATGGGCTCTGAAGCCCTAATAACTTTGGGTAAAAGACGGGCCCCTGACAAGATTTTAATCACTCCCCAGTGTTTAAAGGACAATGGTTAGAGCCAAGCTTCTGCATCAGAAGAAGCCTGGTACATTCTGGGAGAAAGGTACAGCTTAGTCCCTGCCACGCCTGCTTGCAGATCACACAAGGAGGGGTTGTAACTCCAGCACCCCTTCCTTTAAGCATCCCAATACTATGCATCTTTGATTAAAGGCATCCCCGAGCCTGTTAGACTCCATTACAAAGTGACTCTCCCACCGGGCGGGGAGGTCTTGCAAACAGAGACCTCCAATGCCCAGCACGAAGCCTCTACACAATCTGTCAAGCTCACATTGAGGCAGCCTGAATCAGTGGGGGAATCCGGTGACCCGGGCAGTCAGATGAGGAGAGGGGTACCTAAGTGGCAGGGTTGAGAAAAAGGCGCAGGTACACGGCCGGGCGCAGGGAGGTGGAGAGAAATAGGGGGACTAAACCTAACTTAAAGAGGCAGAGGGACCAAGGCGGTAAAGGTGGGAAGAAAGAGACGAGGAGGAATGTGTGCTCGGTGAGGGCGGGGCCGCTGAGGAGGCGGCAAGCGCAGGGCCAGCGGAGGGGCTGGTGGGAGGCGGGGCCTTTGGGGAAGGAGTCGAGGGCGGGGCCAGCGGGAGAGCTGGCGGAGGGGAGGCCAGAGGGAGGGCCCGCGGAGGAGGCGGGGCCTTTCGGGGGAGGAGTCGAGGGCGGGGCCAGCGGGAGGGTTCGCGAAGGAGGCGGGACCTTTGGGGGTCGAGGGCGGGGCCAGCGGAAGCGCGGCGGAGGGGCGCGGAAGCTCTAGGGGAGCCCGAGGAAGGTGGGGCCAGCGGAGACTGGGCAGGGAAGTCGCGGAGAGCGTGGGGGTCGAGGGGGCGCACCGACAAGACCGTCTCATCCAGGCTCGCCGACCACCCGTATTCCACCACCTCCCACCGGTATTCCATACCCGCCGCTTCTTCCCGGCTGACCTCAGTGCAGCTACCCGGCCTACCTCAGTCTGGATCCCTTCAGGCTGGCACTTCGGAAGGAAGGGAGCGCTCGGCTGAAGAGAAATGGATCGGCGCCTTGAGCGCTAAGAGAAAAGCCGCCTGAGTCTCGACTGCGCGGACCAATGAGGCGGCCTTCCTGCGTCAGCGCGGATACACGCTGCCCAATTAGAGGAAGCGTATCCTGGCGGCCAAGGGAGAAGCTACGGGTCCTACTTGGGGACAAACATCTTGACAATAATAATACGCTTCTATTTTTATTTTTGTTTTAATTTGAACGAAAGGCCACACTAGATATGCCCAGCTTTGAGCAGTAAGAACAATTTCGTTACCTTTGAAGTTTCCGAAAACATTCCACATGTATTTTTTTTTTTTTGATTCTTAATCACATCACGTCTATTAAGACAGAAGACAGACTCGGACATTAATTTGCCCAAGAACACATAGCCCTTTTGGATTAAAAAAAGAAGAAGAAAAAAAAAAAAGCCAAGTCCAGGACAACTAAACGCAAAGTGAAATCCTGGATTGGACCCTGGAACAGAAAAAGGACGTGAATGGGACAACTGACGAAATTTGAACAAGGTGTATCAAGTAATAATATTATTGTATCAATAGTTTTGATAATTGTACTACGGTTATGTAAGATGTTAACTTTAAGTGATTCTGGATGAAGAACATAGGGGTACTCTATACTATTTTTGCAACTTTCTGTAAACCTAATTTCACATTCTGAGCCCTTATTGAGATGTCCGGTACACAACACGAAGTAGCTCATGGAAAGCTTTGTGTAAATTGAATCATTCGAAATATACTAAAACAATACACCCTTTAAAATAGGTAAGTTTTATTTCCCTAAAGTTTGAGAGATTCTTAATTTGTGGTTCTACACCACCTGCAATTGTCTGCAAATTTGTATATGTGCTTATTTTTCTGAGAAGCTGTTTGTTCAGGCTACCAAGAGTCAGAACCCCCATCCTCAAAGTTAAGAACAATTCATATAAATAGATCCTACGGTAACTTTTTATGTTTTTTGTTTGCATAATGAATAATCAGATTTGTGTAAACAGCCAACTTGAATATGCTTGTGATCTGCTGTTAAGTGACAAGCCAGGACCCAGCAACAGTGCCTCTGTGTAGGAGAGTCCCCCTAAATATTTGTTAAATGAATACTAGATGAATGCTTTGCTTTTTTTGTTTCTACTCACATCTCCCTGAAGCAGGGGTCTTCTTCATGCATGGTGCTCCTTCTCCTTCAAAATTCACTTTAAATTTAAGGCTGCAATCCTCATGGGGGTCCTCAGAGCTGCTCAACAATCGTAGTTGCCCTGGGCAGGCTACTCCCCGACTCTCTAAGTGAAGCAGTTCACATCTCTTCTCTCAAATGTTCAACACCTTTTCCCCTCTCCTCACCTACCTTATGACCGCAATTCTTATTTCACATGAAAAGCAATCAAAAGACACTTGCACCTTCAAAATGTACAACAGCCCCCTGCATCTGTACCTGTTAAATGAATCACCAGTGCAGCGGATCCGGCTCCTCCAGCCTAGTAAGGAAGTCTGCTCCTGCAGTTACCTTCTCTCTCTCTCCCCTGCATATTCAGGCTTTCTTTCTAATACTTTCTATTTTCTTTCTAAAATTTTCCTAGTTTTCATTTCTAAAAGAAAATCCTCTCAGATACCATTTTCCACTGTTCAGATTGTTTTAAAAAAAAAAAAGTCTGTGGGGAATACATGGCCGGTGAAAGTATAAGTTGATACAACTCTTATGGATGGCAATTGAGAAATATCTATCAGTATTGCAAAAACATGCCTTTAACCCAGCAATTCCACTCCTGGAAGTTTATCCTATAGATATACTTGCATGAATGTATTGTTTAAAAATAAAGGAACATGGAGAACATTATGTATTAGTTTCCTGCCTTTTGCAATAAAAAATAGGAATAATATTTTCTTATGTGTGCATGAAGAAAAGAATTGAAGAATACACAAGAAATAATAAATTCAGATGGGAATCAGGAGTGAAAGGGAGACATTTTATACATAATGTTTTATGTGTAATTTTTAATCATGTGAAAGTATTATCTATTATGTTCCAAAAGTTAACAATTTTTTTAGAGTCAACCCTCACGTTCCTCCCTCACCATGCCTCTCCAGCCCCATCTCATTTCTCTGATCTCCTTTACAGACAGATCTAATCTGCTCTATTCCCTCCTCATCCTACTTCAGTTAGGTTTTTGTTCCCACCAGTCCACTGAAACCACACCTATGAAGGCAGTGACTTCCTAGTTGCCAAATCCTCAGTAAAGTCTCGGTTCTGCTTTAATTGAACCACTCAGCAGCATTTGACAGTTAATCACTCCTCCTTCTGGAAACTCTTTCTTCTCTTGGTTTTCAGAAGGATACCTTCTCCTAGTTTCTCCAGCTTTGTTGATACCCTCATTAACTGCTCTGCTTCTGACCTCTAAACAACGGAATGCCCCAGGTTCAAACTTTTGACACCTTCTTTGTGTATACTCGTTCTATATATACTCCTGTCAAAGAATACCATGGAGGCAGTTAATTATATGCAAACAAATTTACTCATAGGAAGGAGAGAATCAATAGGTGACTGTCAAGGAGGGTTTAAAAAATGGATTCATAAAAGACGGGGGAAATGTGGGATGTCAGGAAACCATGAGTCTTGTCTGCTTTTCTAGAAGGAAACTGACAAGCTAGAATTTTGCAAAGCAGTCAGTCTAGGCAGTCTGCCCTGGAGCTGGCTGGCTCAAGGCATCAATGAAAACAATGTTAGCTATTTATAGATTCTCCCTAAAACTTAAGTAGAAGTACACAGAACAGGTTGTCTCTGTATACTGTAAAAAAGAGAGAGAGAGAGAGAGAGAGAGAGAGAGAGAGAGAGAGAGAGACGGAAACTAAGACCAAGATGGAAACCAGTCTTTTATAACCTAACCTTAGAAGTTATGCCCAATCACTTCAGTTGTATTATTTTCATTAGAAATGAGCCAGTGAGTCCAGCCCACACTCAAGGGGAAGGAATTACACAAGAACATGAATACCATACCAAGAGGCTCAGGGGCCCATCCTATGAACTACCTACCACAGAAGCTGTCTTTAGGGGGACTGAAGGCCAGTTAAGTATGGAGACATATTTAGGTTGATAATATTTGAGGATTTTTTTTTTTTTTTTTAGGCTGCGTTGGGTCTTCGTTGCTGCGTGTGGGCTTTTCTCTAGTTGTGGTGTGCGGGCTTCTCATTGCGGTGGCTTCTCTTGTTGCGGAGCACGGGCTCTAGGCACACGGGCTTCAGTAGTTGTGGTGCGCAGGCTCAGTAGTTGTGGCTCGCAGGCTTAGTTGCTCCACAGCATGTGGGATCTTCCCGGACCAGGGATCAAACCCATGTCCCCTGCATTGGCAGGCGGATTCTTAACCACTGAGCCACCAGGGAAGTCCTGAGGATTTTGAAGTTAGGTAACATAATTAAAAGCCAGAAAGGAAAAGATAGCTATCACTGTAAATTACACAGCTTAAAGAGTTGAGGGGACAGAAAACAGGAATAAACAAAAGGTGAAAAGTAAGAGAAAGAGGAGAAAACTAATAAAATGCAAGTCTAAATGTAAATTTACAGTTTTAAGATTCATTTTCATTGGTCTCTTTTAATATATTCATTCTCCTAGTTGTGTATTATAGAGGGATTATCCAGTGGTATCCTTGCTGGGAGTGTAGTTTGCATCTGTCAGGAAAATGACTGTGTACATGAGATAGTTAACAGTATTCATCAGGACCACTCCATTTATCTTACCAATATCTGGGGATGATGTGGATAGTGAAGTTTCCTTTTAATGAGAGTACCATGTGTAATTTATAGTTCGTCAGGTATTTTACCTGTAATGTAAGGTTTTTGTTTATCCATAGAGAGTATTGAAGGTATGCCCTAGTGGGAAAACCAAAATAAGCTGTTAAAGCATTTGCCTTTTATCAAGGGAAAATCTTGATCCAACCAGAAGATTTACAAACTATTATTAAACATATTTAAAGTTTTGAAGTAACTGAATGAAATTTATATAGAAATGCTTAAATGCCTCGAAGCTGGGTTCCAAGGCTTGCTCTACCCTTATAGTTTTTCCAGATCATAATAATTAGAGATAAAACAAGATTTGGTCCTCCACTGAGTTGCCCAGATAAAATTTTTTCCACCAATATTTTTGTAAATTTAGAACAGATTTGTCCCTGCCACTTGGATTATTTTTGTTATGAAAGTATTAAAGGTCTAAAGATGGTTTTGGATGACATCAACCAGTATGAGGATTGTTTGAAATAACCGGTCTTTCTCTTTCCCTCCCTCCCTGTCAGCGTGGGGCCAGTTTGTGGCAATTGAACACATCTTTCTTATTTAGAAATTAAACAACTTTTAGACAGCAATTAGATTAAACTTCTTCTTGTATTAATGAATATAAAACCAGTAAGGGCTACTTCCTCATATAATGCTTTAAAAAATTTTTTTAATTGGTATCTTTAGTGTAGGCTTTAATTTTGTAAATTGAAATTTACTTTAGATGGTGGATTGTCTTTAAGAAGATGTGGCACATATATACAATGGAATATTACTCAGCCATAAAAAGAAACGAAATTGAGCTATTTGTAATGAGGTGGATAGACCTAGAGTCTGTCATACAGAGTGAAGTAAGTCAGAAAGAGAGAGACAAATACCGTATGCTAACACATATATATGGAATTTAAAAAAAAAAATGTCATGAAAAACCTAGGGGTGAAACAGGAATAGACACAGACTTACTAGAGAATGGACTTGAGGCTATGGGGAGGGGGAAGTGTAAACGGTGACAAAGCGATAAAGAGGCATGGACATATATACACTACCAAACGTAAGGTAGATAGCTAGTGGGAAGCAGCCGCATAGCACAGGGAGATCAGCTCGGTGCTTTGTGACCGCCTGGAGGGGTGGGATAGGGAGGGTGGGAGGGAGGGAGACGCAAGCGGGAAGAGATATGGGAATATATGTATATATATAACTGATTCATTTTGTTGTGAAGCTGAAACTAACATACCATTGTAAAGCAATTATACTCCAATAAAGATGTTTAAAAAAAAAAAAAGAAGCAATTACATTTCTTTTAAAGGTTTTGATTGAAAGCATCTGAGAAAAT